GGGGTAACAGATTTTTGGAGATTATTTTCTTAGTTTTCTGTATTTTCTAAAGCTTATATATTCATGCTAGATCTAGAAATTAGAAACATTTAGAATTTTTAATTATAGCAAAGTACATAGGACATAAAAATTACCTTTGTAACTATTTTTATGGGTACAATTCAGTGGCATTAAGTGCATTCACATCATTGTGCAACCATTACTCCATCCATCTCCTGAACTTTCTGGTCTTTTCCAAACGAAACTCTGTACTCAGTAAATAATAACTCTCTAATACCCCTCTTCCCAATCCCTGATAACCACTACTGTACTTTCTGTCTTTATGAATTTGACTACTCTAGGTACCTCATATATGTGGAATCATACAATATTTGTTCTTCTGTATCTGGCTCATAATGTCCTCAGGATTCATTCATGTTGTAGCATGTATCAGAATTTTACTCTTTTTAAAGTCTGAATAATATGCCACATTTTGTTTATCACTTCATTTGTTGATAGACATTGGGTTGCTTTCACCTTTTGGTTTTTGCAAACAATGGTGCTGTGAACATTAGTGTACATATATATGTTTGAGTATAAGTTTTCAATTTTTAGGAGAATATACCTAGAAGTAGGATAGCGTATCACATGACAATTCTATGTTTAATATTTTGAAGAACCGCTATAGTGTTTTTCACAGTGGCTGCACCATTTTACATTCCTACCAGAAATACACAAAGGTTTCAATTTCTCCATGTCTTCAGCATATTTTACTTAACAAGGTCAATCACTTTATATGGAAATTTTTTTTTAATGTGTAACTTACTTTCCAGCTTTATCTTAAAAAGAAAATATTGAACAAATTTTTATTCTTTTACTCCTTACACACACTGATGCCTCTTCAAGAACTATTGCAATATATATTTATTTGTGATCTTGTTATTTGCTGGATACTGCTCCCAATTATTTCTACAGAACAGATTGATCTTTTCAAAATTCTGTAAAATATGATGCCTATTTCACAGATAAGTAAGTAAGGTACACAGAGGTTAATTTTTTTTTTTAATTTTTTAAAACTTGCCCAAGATCACATGAGTAGTAAGTAAAGACAGCAGGATTCAAAGCCAGACTTTTACACATTTTACTAGACTCCTCACCATCTAAGACTCTTTGTCTCGTTAATAAATGTCCTCTATGTTCTTAGAAAATCTGTGTATGCTGTTTAATGTTTTGGCATTACTCCTTGTGGTTATAAAAGCACCAACCTCTAGCCATTTCCTCCTTTCCAATCCACATGTTGATACTGATATACTGTCTTCAAGAAAAACAGATTAAAAAAGAAAGTTAAAACTGTGTGAAAAGTAAATGTGCTTAGGTTCTGAGAGACAATTTGAAGGGTGAACCTAACGGTAAAGTATATGAACTTATATATTTAGCTTTCACAATATCTATTTTGGTGACTGAATGACCTATTTCGCTTATTTCTGGCTTTCTTCTTGTGTTTCAGCTCCTGAGCCTATTATGAATGGCTTCTGAATAGGAGTTCTTACTCTTACTCCTACTCACATTGTGTAATACAGTGTAACTTATTTTTTTAAAAGATTGCCCCAAAGCAATAAATATACTTCCAACGTATGGAATTCTCTTTTTAAATGTCTACTTAATATTGTCATAATACACAAAATAAGAGAATCAAGGAAAAGTCTTTTGGTATTCAAAATGCCTGGTCCTACATCAAGGCTATTCAAACTATAGATTACAACTGCCATCAATATTGGCCAGGAAAACGCTTGCAGAATTTATTATATGTCATAGATATATTTTCTGGGAAGAGGAGGCATGTGTTTCTGTCCTTGTGTAGCAGGTACTTTAAAAAGTGCTCAGTATTTAACATCAAAAAATCAAACCTACTTATTTCCAATGAAGTAGAAGAGGTCATAGTTCAATAAATACAGTAGTGAGTCCTTCTATGTGTTAACAATGTTTTCTTTGATGTGAATCATCAGGATGTCCCTCACTCCACATCATATCACCATCTATTTTTCTGGAAATTAAGTTTTTCAGTATCAACATTTCTTAAAGCTTTCTTTTCCCACACTTGTAAGATTTTCCTTGGAAACAGGTGAACAAAAGGAGTAAAGCTGAGAGGAAACTGTTCATTCAAAACACAAAAGGAAAAGATAAATAAAGTTTTTTATAGAAGAGCTCTAGCAACCCAGACACCCTTAAGTTGATTAATAAGTGATAAATATAATTTTTGTACTACTAGGTTTAGAGTTAATTTCCATCTAAATATTTCAAGTAATTTTTATTCAACAAAATCAGAGTGGGGGGAAAATAAAGGAAACAATCCCGCTGTTTTATTGAATAAAGCCAGAGCTCTGAATGAGCTGAGGGGAATAACCATTATCTTATTCAATGATTTTGTGGCTGGTTAACAGATTAAGCTAAAGACAAAAAAAAAACAAAGTGATAGAGGCACCTTATGTCTTTTAAGACTATGTTTCCCTGATCTAAAGTTTTGACGAGATATAAAACCTCCCCTGGACTCCAAAGTTTGATCATTTTAACACTGACTTCTGACTAAAACAGTAATACCGTTAGTAGCAATAAATAAATTTTGGTGGTTCAACTAACATTTTTAGTATCCTGACATACTGGACCTTACACATGTACTATAAACTAACTTTATTGTTTTTTGTCACATAAAGAAGGAGTTAGTCCTTCTCTATTCTTCCACATCCAACTTCTACTAAACACACAATCCTGTGCAAGTTAATAACCCTGGAGTTTAGCCTCTATTCTCTGACCTTTGGCTTTTCTAAATTTCTAGTACTTTCTGCTACCCTTCATTTCAGTATTACTTTATATTGTCTTAAATTTTTGTAACTCTTTCGTAGATTATATTTTATTATTTTTAAGTGTCACCCACATTAATTAAGATTGATTGTATAGTAATACTTAAATAAATTCTTTCCAACCAATTAATAATGAATTTGTTCAAAGAAGAAATTGTTGAGAGTGGGGCATTTTGCAGGCCTGATTAAATTATGTGAAACTAAAGCGATAAACCAGGTGAATTGTGGGTGAAGCTCAGAAGCCTGGGTTCTCAGCTGTTAAATTCCCCCACCCCCAAAACAATAGCTATTTAAAAGAACCAAACTTATTGCAACTGATATACAATAAACATCCAAAAAATTGAAAACTCTTAACTAAAAGGCATTTCATTCCATTTTATGATAGTCATGAAGTAGTGCAAAAACATTTAAGGAAACCTCTGACCATGAAATAAATGATGTTTGAGAAGACAAAAATAAAGATGTACCAAGTAAATAGAATGGCATTAAGAGTAGAGTTGAAGGCTGGGTGCTGTGGTTCATGCCTGTAATCCCACCACTTTGGGACACCGAGGCAGGAGGATCACTTGAGGCCAGGAGTTTGAGACCAGCCTCGGTGACATAGTGAGACCCCATCTCTGCAAAAACATAAAATTAGCCAGGCATGGTGGTTTGGCATGCACCTGTAGTCCTAGCTACTTGGGAAGGCTGAGATGGGAGGATCTCTTGAGCCCAAGGAGTTACATACAGTGAGCTATGATTGTACCACTGTACTCCAGCCTGGGTGACAGAGCGAGAAAGAAAAAAAAAAATAGAGTTGAAAATGGCAAGACAGCTACTACGTTTTTTTATTTTATTTTTAGTTGACAAATAATTGAAAACTATATATTTATGGGGTACAAAGTGATATTCTGCTACATGTATACATTGTGGAATGATCAAATCTGAGTAATTAGCATGCTCATCACCTCAAATATTTATCATTTCTGTGTGATGATAACATTTCATAGAAATTTAGTATATGTATTCTCTTAAAGGTTTGGACTGGCCTTCAAGTTGCTTGTTTCCGGCTGAAAGAAAGAAAGAGAGAGAAGGATGAAAGGAGGGAGGGAAAATATGAGGGAGGGGAAACCCTGATGTATTCTTCTAGAGCTTAAGAAACTTCATCTGACAGGTTTCACAGAAACCAACAGCAAATTTATAATGAGCCAAAGCCTCAGCGAGGACCCTAAAACATCCGTAGTTTGGTTTGAAACGACTAAGGGTGAAAGCATCAGCTTATGGAAAATGAGGGCGGCTTCCGCAGTTGGCCAGCGTTCCAGGCGATGGATGTTGGTGAGCAATACCCTTAAACAACTGATTTACTGCCAATAGACAAAAATGCTGGAAGCACATCCAAAAACTCATCTGCAATTAAAATTACAAGCAAGTGGTCACTCTGTCCACCTCCCTTACCAGAGGTGACCCTGCTCCTGGCAACCATTTCCACACAGGGCCACGGAAGAACACCTCCTTCCTCTAGCCCTCTTTCCTTGGCCTCAAAAATCACTGTAAAACCTGCCTTGCACTGTCTCCCAGTCGCTTTTGTAAAGGAGGGTGGGGGGGAAGCCCTTACTTCTTTCTCCTTCCCTCCCTTTTTTCTTTCCTTCCTTCCTTTCTTCTTTCTTTCCTTCTTTCCTGACTTTCTAAATTCATTGTTTTTTTAAAAAAATTCTCAGATCACCTCACTCCACTAGAAATCCGTCGCAGGCGAGACGGAGTCAGGCATAGGCGGCGGCCGGTGCCTTCGCCAGCACCATCTGGCACCTGCGATTCGTCGCCACTGTCCCGGCTCCGAGGTCAGAGCGGCGGCAGGCAAAGGACACACAGAACTGGTGTGTCCCAGTTCCTCTGAAACTTTCAGTTGACCGCACTCCGTTCCCCCGAAAACTCTTTAATCATCCATCAAGCCAGAAGAGTACAGTGACCTGTGCTTGGCCTTTGGAGTTGCAAAAGAGGCGAAGCAAGAAAAGCAAGAGGAGGTTCGCCCCTTTGCTTCCTCCACCGCCCAGCAGCGGCGGGTGCAGAGCGGCGGTGCGGCCGGAAGGGGCCGCTGTTTGCTCAGAGCAGCCGCCGCGGCCCGCACCTCCCACGGCCGGGCTGGTCCAGCCCCGCCAAGTTCTCACAGCCCCCAGTCGAGCGAGCGCCGGGAACGAGCACCGCCCGGGCAGGAGCGGACGGCGTGCATGGCGTAGAAGAGCCAGGCTGCGGCGCGCGGCGGAGAGGCTCCTGGGAAACTCCCACGGCCCAAGGACTTTGGAAAGGAGAGAGAGAGCTAGGAGCCCCTGCGCGCGCAAGTCTGCAAGTGAGCGCTCAGCCCGGCACCTGTTCCTCCCGCGCCGCAGCCTCTCCTCCCCTCGGACCCGCGCCTCCCCGGACGCTCGCCCGCTCCCGCGATGAATCCGGTGCTGGGCAACCAGACCGACGTGGCGGGCCTGTTCCTGGCCAACAGCAGCGAGGCGCTGGAGCGCGCGGTGCGCTGCTGCACCCAGGCGTCCGTGGTGACCGACGACGGCTTCGCCGAGGGCGGCCCGGACGAGCGCAGCTTGTACATCATGCGCGTGGTGCAGATCGCGGTCATGTGCGTGCTCTCGCTCACCGTGGTCTTCGGCATCTTCTTCCTCGGCTGTAACCTGCTCATCAAGTCCGAGGGCATGATCAACTTCCTGGTGAAGGACCGGAGACCGTCTAAAGAGGTGGAGGCGGTGGTCGTGGGGCCCTACTGACCGGTCCCCCGGCTCCCGCGCAGCCACCCCCATGCCTCCCCACTTCGCCAGCCCGGCTGCGCCCCTCACCATCAGAGACTGGGCGAAGCAAACCTGTCGGAGTCAATGATTTCTCTTGACTTACACCTTTCGGGATGAAGCGACCGGTTTCTCGCTCACCCTCTGAAAGTCCCCGTGCCTGTAGGAGAAGAGCTCCTGACTTCTGGACTCTGCAGCAAGTGGCAAGAAGAGGGTGATTAGGGAGCAGAACTTTGGAAGCTGCCGCTTGCGTGAGATGTGGGGAGACAGACGGGGCGAAGGCCGTTCTCCACCCTCAGGTGGGCCAAGCGCTGGGGACAGGTGAAGAGGGCGGTCAGGGGAGAGACCCAGCGGCACCTATCACCTGGTGACCGGAAAAGTGACTTGTTTATACGCCGCACAACAGACCTAATGGGGACGCACAAATCCGTGTCCGGATGCGCGCCCACTCTCTCCTGCTTCCTCCAGCCCTGGCGGGGAGAGGCGATAAATACCTTTGATTGATCGTAACGTGCCGTTTTAAGGGATTTTGTTTGTTTGCTTGAATTTGTATATTTGATAAGTCCTTTTCTGCCCCAGTGGCCTGTTTGCCTGCCTGGGGGTAGAGTTTTGTCACGGGAGAAGGGGTGGGGGGAGGGGGAGCTTGCGAATATGAACGGGGTGAGTCGTTTCTTTTAGTGCATTTCCAACTGGGTCTTTTTTGGGGGGGCGGGGGCGGGCAAGTGTTCCAGCTGACCCCGGGACAGAGACCCAGGATAGAACTCGTAGCTCGTGACTGCACGGTTTACGCCACAAAAGTGCTCTTGACATCCGTGACACCGTTTTGACATTTTTTTTTTCTTATTTAACATTTCCTTAATAAATGCAACATTTAAGTGTTTTGTTCCTGGCCTCCTGGTGGTCATTCTGCGCTCCCCGGCAGGGGGGAACCGGCGGTGGTGAGTCTGGTCCGGTAAATTGGCCTTGGAGAGCTGCTATTCAACTTGTGGATCCCAGGGAGGGGCGAGGGTGGGGCGAGACGGAGAAGCCCGGCGATGAGTGAGACGTAGCCAAGCCGGGGGCACAGGGCTGTATTGGAGGCAGCATCCTTTGTTTTCTCTTATAGTGAATATTTTATATTTCATTTAGTCTCAGCTCTCAGGTAGGTGAGACGACTGGAGGGCCCCGCGGGAAGGTTACGCTTCCGTGCCAGGCGCCGGCGGGAGCAGAGGATTACGCCGCTAATGAAAGCAAGAGACGGCCTGGCCGGCCTTTAGGGAGGTCGCTGCCCTGACCAACGTCAGCGAGAGGCGTTGGGATGCAGCTCAAGGGAAAAAAAAAATTATAAAATGTGAGGAAAAGTAGTTGCTGAAGTACACACAGTGACGCTAATACTCCCTGGGGTAAACTATTGTTACTACAACGTAATATGTACTATTGTCTTTGCCATATTACTTTTTCTAGCAAAAGGGCGTGATTCAAAGAGACACCCGGCCTGCTGCTTCTTAGAGTAGTCAGCCCAGGCCTGGGAAAGCGTTCAGAGGAGTTAGCCGAGGTCCTGAATGTCAGAGATGAGTATTACAACCAAAACTGGAAAGGCTGGGCTGGAGTAGAGCTCCAGATAGATCGTCGTTGGCACCTTTAGGGCTCAGAAATTGAAAAGTGTTGGAAAGAAAAGCCTAGAAAACCATGCCTGTGAAAATAACGCAGAGGATACAATAACTTAAGGCTTAAACTTGACAGAAGGTTTTAAGCAGTTTATTTTTATGCCTGAGGTGGAATCCTAAATATTTTCAAGACTATAAAGGCTCCACTAAGATGCTAGAGCAATTCAAATTTCAAAGACTTCACAATAGCAGCTGTAAGACTGACTAAAATCAAATAACAATAAATTGTTCCATTTACTTGGGAAGAAGCACAACTGGTGTAAACAATTTCAGTGACTCAAAGGTTAGGATCAAAAGGTTTGCCTGCCCTTTAATATCTTGTCCACTACTAGGTGTCCATTTCACTCTCAAAGTAAACCTTGCCAGGAATAACAATCTACCTACGATGGTTTTTTGAATACTAATCAATATCAGGCTTGAAAAAAAAAGCATTTTGAAGTTTTGCTTGTTGTTTCTGTCTTTTCAACAGGTAAAGGTTTGCTTGTTTGTTTTTTTGGTATCTGGGGAGGGGGGCAGGGTCAACAGTCGATATAGTGTGAGTCATGGAAGGCAGTTTACATTTGCTAATGGACAGGACAGGAAATGGAGATGTCATTTTGTAGGGATGTCCTGTTTTGCAGACAGTTTCTGTGGCACCGAGTTCATCTGCTCCCTCTATGTTCGAAAAGAGAAACAAAGCAGAGCAATGGGTTCACCCTGGGGCAAATGAGACATTTAAAATTTAACTCAGGTTTTTGTGGCTGCAACATCCACTGAGGGTCCCTTCTTCTTGTAGATTTATTGGCCCACCAGTGAATTCAGTGCTCTGGTGGAAATCAATGTGGGATAAGAAAAAAATTAGCTACAGTTTGTAGGAATCTCAGTTTGTACACTGCTGTGTGTGTGTAGGGTGCATGCTTATAGTTTATAGTTTTAGACTCAACGGGGGGGCATAGGAGGGGTTAAACATACAGGTCAATTTCAAATTGTTTGTATAGAACAGAGGTTTTCATTTAAAACAAAAGTCCTGAACGTTGAGAGAGGAGCCTTCCCAAGGTTGAAGACCTCTATTATCTTCTCTATCTCGTTCCTCTTAATATTTCTTCACACCTCTTTCCTCTTCCCTGCCTCTCAAAAGCAAAAATTTATAGTTTCTCCTTATCTCATCTATCCAGATTTATTCTCTTAGCTCCAAAAATTGTGATCATGAGACAAACCAGAAGCTGCAAAATTTAGTCTTTAGGTAGAAAGGATATGTGAACACAGCTCTGTAATCCATGATCTATGCAGTATAGGGAAATGCACACAGTCTGAAATGCACATAGCCCTGGGGACTATTTCCTGCCAACAACCTTTCTCTCCAGCTCTTAGATCCATTTGTTACTTAGAGAGATGCCAAGTGGTTCTGGTTTTTATAGATGAGGCTATGTGTGCAAGAAGCTTTTTACACTCCCTATTCCCTAATGGGCTCACAGCAACCACTTTCTGGAACCCCACACCACTCCCTCTCATTCTGCCTTTGACTATCTTTGTCCCTCATTATAACAGATGCATTAAATGAAACTTTTTACTCCTGGCTAGAAGTTATGGAGAGTCAGTCCCTTCCTACAGACATGCTCTAAGGAAAATAGGTCTTGAATGTCACTCCTCATGTTTCACCTCAGAAAACAATGTCAGCCTTAGGAGACTGGGAATGGTACGGAATAAATGCCAAGAGGCAGGTTCTACCATGCCACACTTAGGTCCACCATTTGGTCAGTAATTAATGGGAGGCTCTGAGAAAGAGAGAGAGACTGATTCCTATAAAAGCTTCCTTGATCTGGCACTGCCCATGGGGACTTATCTGATACTTACTGAAGCCCTACTGGAAATACAGCAGACTCCAGGAGAAGATTTTGTGAGACACTCTGGGGAATTAGTGGGATCTTGGGCTGAGTAGACAGCCCCTGATACCTCTTAGCCTAATTGGGTGGACTGCTTTGAGTAACTTAACCAATTGTTGATAATGTTATTTTTTCTAAGATTGTTGATATGAATCTTCCCACTCTCTCTGAAAATGCAGCAAGAACTTAAGTGTTGGAAAACATGAGGGAAGTCAAACAGAGATCACACTACTCTATCAAGTCTGAGATCACACTAGCTCCTGGTGATGGTCCACGATTTCTGATTTCTAAGCTTCCCTGGCCTCTCACTGGATCTGAGTCAGTCCTGTTCTTGTGTCTTCCTACCCTAACTCTGAGTGAGGAAGAGAAAGGCACACTGGACTGAGATATTAGAAACTTTGGTTCTGGTTTCTAACAGCTAGTTGGGCTCATCCCTAAAATTAGGAAAATGGATTCCAAAAGGACATTCCCATTCTATGATTTCAATGGATTAATTTGTTCAACATTTTCTTCTCTCTTAAGATTTTCATAGATCTCGTCATTATGTGTCTTAAAAATATACTTTACCTTTCCAGTTTTGGTCTTTAGTGTAGAAATTTTTCTCGCAAAAGTCAAGTGCTTCTCGACTCAGGATATGCTATTTACAATAATCAAAGCAAAATTCAGACACCTAGTCAGGCTTGGGTAGACAGCAGTTTCTAACCTGATAGATTACACACCCTCTAAACAGGGCCTTAAATATCTCAGATCTGTATGTTCTCACTGGATAAAGCCATGAAAGCAAAGGCCAGTGTAGTGGAGAGTATGTGATTCTTCTAGGTACACACTGAGACTAATATATGCTATTGTTTATAGAAACCACTTAGGTGTTTGAAGACGCATTAACAGCCAATTTTTCTCCCCCAAAGCATTTTTCCCTGTGAGCTTCTGCAGCAGCACACAGCAGCTGTGCCACATGCAGTTTAGAGCCTTCTTTAACCCTGGCTTATTATGCTTGTCACTTTGGGGCTTGCAATGACAGGAAAGGATTCCAGGGTTTAGTTTGTTCTGTAAGACTCAAACCTAGTTTGAAAGCCTGTTGAAGCAGCAAGTCTGCAGCAATCCTCCAAACGGAAATCAATAAATCTTTTTTCTACCTGCCAAATCTCATGTAGACATGTGCACAATAGCTCAAATGGGATGTGTTTTAAAGGCAGCTCCAGCAGCAGTAATTGTTTCCTAATGTCTGAATTTCAATGCGCAGTGGTTAATTGTTTCCATAGCCAACCTCACTTTGTCCTCCTTTCTAGATATTTTTGTATTGTTTTAGATGCTTGAAATATCTGAAAGTCCAGGATTAATTTTTGGAAAAATAAAGTGTATAATATTATCAGTCATGTATCATTTACAGTGACCCTAATAAAATAGTTTGAATTTATATTTTTATATATCTTATTTTATTTATTTTATTATCTTTAGTATATTTGAGGACCCCAAAATATTCCGGAGGGAGCTTCTACAAGGACTGTTGTGAGGATAACTACATGCATTTTTAAATACTCCTCAGTCACCTTGCAAACAATGGCTTGCTTCTAACCTAAATAACAATATACACTAAGTGAGAATAAACAGGGCTTATTTTCATTTATTTGACTATTTATGTATATTTCAAAGGGGCAATGGGTAAATAGTTTTATTTCTTAAACATATTTAAGGGCTTGCTTGCTGAAATATTTTTGAGTGGGCAAATGCAGGCATAGAGTGATCAATACAAAAAAGGTCAAGTCATCTGTGATGATGCTAGAACAAATTCTGCCCTGCCCCCCATTTTAAAACTGGTTTCCATTAGGTAGTAATATTCTATGGACTCATAAATCAAGGAATAATATAGTATTTTTCAAGCACTCATATGAACATGGTGCATTACTACTTATTACTGAAAACAATGAGATGTTTCCTACCCATTTGAACCTTAAAACACAGGTGTAGACAAACATGCATAAGGGAAGGTATATGATCTATCAGCAAGAGTCAGATAGTAAGGAAATTGTTCCTGTTTACCATTTCTGGAATTCATAGTAGTACAGATATACACACATAATTATACTACAGCCTACACGTTGGCATGGATTATTATAGGGAGAAAAGGTTACAGTTTTTCTCATTAAATTTTTTTTGCATTTGTCCTCTACCCTCACCAATTGCTTTCTCATTATGCACCCCTTCCCACACCCACATCTAAAGATATACTGCCTGAAAGAATCATTGATTTTTATCAGACCAAGACTCCAGATGTCTGATTGCTTTGGGAAAAGAATCCCTCTAGGATCCAGAGTGTCTCTTTTGCTTTATTTATTTTCCTATAAATGGAGCAGCATCATTTAGTTCATATTC